TCTCTCCTGCTCACTGAGCATCCAGTACAGTCATGTTTGTGATAATGCTGTCCCTGCACAGGCTTGTATAATGTTATCAGTGGCATCATTCATCAGCGTGGTGGCAATTTCAGGATCTGTCTGTGACCAGTGAGTCCATGGGCATTGAGAGGAACCAAGTGAAGGTTATCCCATCAGGAGGCTCAGCTCAGCCATAACTGAACAAAGTGCTCTCTCCGACTCTGGGCACAGAGGGGCCATCCTCTGAGCCTCCAAGAACCTAAAATATCCCAGTGACCAGTGTGCTTCCAGTCTGGTCCATCCGGGAGATAACCAGAAGACCAGGGCATGATTTGCCTGAAGCGTTTGGGTACCAATAACAACAGAAGTTGAACAGGCTTTAGCTATATTACCAAAGCTATTAAAGTTAAAAACCACTAAACAACCACAGCTTGCTTCCCATCATCCACCCCACAGGCATCCAAAACAAAACCAACAAGAATGTGTTAGAAGAAAGCGGACATTGAGATTCATTAATACCTTGTGTTTGCCCTGAGCTTTAGAAGCAAGCCCCCAGGCACTGCGAATACCACCCAGCAGGCACTGCTGAACAACACAGTGGTCTCTCCCAGGGTACCCTCAACTCCTCCACCCAAGAAATCTCAAGGTCCGAAGTTTGTTTTGAAGACCATTATCAGAAGAGTTTTTGAGCATAGCTGAGACCTAGGAAGAGTGGGTGGGGGATACCTTTGACGTGAGTGGTCCATGGGTCAGAGTTGAAGACTGCAGGGGCAGGCAGAGCCGTCAGAGAGGAGACGTAAGGTGGGAGCTGGGATCTGGGGATGAGGGAGATCCTCTGTGTGGGAGCAGAGGCACTGACTGAATCCCAGGGGCAGAAGTAAGCCAACAGCATCAGTCTGCAAATAGCCCTCATCCTGCAATTGTTGGCGGGCTCTACAATCAGAGGGAGGTTCTGCAAACAGCACAAGTGTGACAAGTGTGTTAAATAGCTTTGGACTCTTTAAACAGCAGCTTGCTCTTACACAAAGGAGGATGCAGTCATCAGGGACCTGGTGAGCACACGGTCACAGGATTCATACCCCAGGATTAAAGTCACAGACAAAAAGACCATCTGCCGATGCCCATAGGAGACAGACTGGGGGTCAGTGTCAGTGTTCCAGTGATGCTGTCATAAACAAGATGGTCTGAAGACCCAAGCCATCCATCTCTCTCTGCAGGACACTCGTTGCCCTCACCTTGGAACAACCGGATGGGGGGCAATTTTCCAATCCTTCTCCACAGTTTCACATTGGTCCACTGAATAACACAACTCCTTGTTGGGAATCTCTGGGTGTTTGACTGTGACAGACTTGGACCATACATTTAATAATGTATGGTCGAAATAGAGGGAGGTTGGGCTCCTCGCAGAAGGCAGAGCCTGGTAGCGATCCCATCACGTGGCATCGTTGAGTCCTTCTGGTTTACAGTCCATTTGGACATCCATTATTTATGGCAGCAGAGTGGCTGTGAACAAGCTGAGACTCAATTAACATCACGTCTTCCCACACAGAAGCAGTGGTTAATGCTGAGGAGTGACTCCAGCTCACCCTCAACCCTGCACAGAGCCAGAGATGCAAGAGACCAAAGGGGACTCAGAGACAGAGACAGGAGCAGAGAACGGAGAGACGGGAAGAGAAAGAGGGCAGCAGGCACATGCTGAGCCAAGAGTGGGCGCCTCTCCCTTCAGCCCATCTCAGCCCTCACCCTCCGGCCTCTGCACTGAAACCCCTGGTCCCTGTCCTGGAGGAGAGAGTGGGTTTCCAGCAGTTGACTCCCCCCAAGTCCACCATGGCCCTCTCCTCCTTCCCTTGAAACTGTCCATTTGACAGTCGGCTTTTCCAGCACATGGGAGAATCTGATTCGTCCCCTGAGAACTGTGACGCAGCTCCTGCAAGGACAGGGGATGCCAATGCCACCCACTGTGCCTGTCTGCCCAGAGTTCCTGAGCAAGAAGACAGGGGCAGCGGGTGGGAAGTGAGGCCAGCAGGGGTCCCGGGAAAGAATGGCTGGTGGGAAAGGGGAGGAGGGGTGGGGGCCCAGGGTGGAGAGAAAGTAGGTGGCCCACAGCAGCTAAGAGCGGTGGGGGAAGGGTGGGGGGAGAGGGGAGGGAGTAAGGGGGCTGATGGGAGCCACCTGCAGGGAGGGGGACACGGGGGCAGGTAAGAGGGCACAGGCAGACAGTGAGTGGGGAGGGGAGAAGCAGGGCAGGGCCGCCCCAGGCTGCATTTCAGAGCAGGATGGGCACTGAAAGCCCAGGATGGGCAATGATGGCGCTTCGTTGAGAGGCCGCCAAGGGCACGCCGAGTTGAACATGCTGAGGGCAGCCGAGTTCCCCGAAAGTCGTGGGCCCCGCTCGGCTCGTGGATGAGGACAGAGGCCTGGCTGAGCACCTGGGGCAGCAGCTCTGTGGGTGGCAGGAGCCGCTGCAGCCGCCAGAGGGTCCAGGCCTGGGAGCTGGAAAGGAGTCTTCTGTGGGGACCTCGTCCTGCTCAAGGGAGGCAGCCCGAGGCCCTGTCTCCCGCCGCGGGTGTGGACGTCCTCTGGGTTGCCCTGCAGAGTCCTGCAGAGTCTTGGTCACAATCACCCAGCTCCTCCTGCTCAGACTGTGCCCCCTTCCCATCAACACAGCTTCACTGTCATCACCAGCATTACTTCTTAGTTTGTAAGCTTAGGGCTTCCCTGGTGGTCCAGCGGTTGGAAATCCACCTGCCAGTACAGGGGACTCAGGTTCGATCCCTGATCCAGGAAGATTCCACAGGCTGAGGAGCAACTAAGCCAGTGCACCACACCTACTGAAGCCAGTGTGCCCTGGAGCCTGTGCTCCACAAGAAAAGCCACCTCAATGAGAAACCTGCGCACCGCAACTAGAGTGGCCCCCACTCGCCTCAACTAGAGAAAAGCCCGCGGACAGCAACGAAGACCCAGGGCAGCCATAAATGAGTAAATAAAATTTAACTTGTAAGCCTAAGGGCAGGAGTTGTATGTCACTCACTGCTGTGCATGCCCATGTGGACACCCACCCCTTCGCCCCCCCACACACACAAAATACACACAATCGACAAGACTCCAGACCTACTCCAGGGAGTGCCGTGTCAGTCAGGGTGTTTGCAAATCAACTCTGGGTAGTTTAATCAGAAGAAGACATCAGACCTTTGGGGGAGCCAGACTCGGGGGGACGCATCAGGAATGATGCCCAACCTGCACGTCGGCTCTGCTCCCCCATGGCTGTGCGCTCAGGCCCACGTGTCACGGCTCCCACTGCTGGGGTGCAGGGTCCTGGACCTCCACCACTGGCCCCCTGAAGCCAGACACCTCCACCATGGCTCTGAGCAGGAAACACACTGCCTGGCACCTGCGCCTGCACACCCGTCTCAAGCCCAAGCCTGCTACAGGGAGTCTCTTTGGCAGAGTCCTGGTCTACCCCTGTGCCTCAGCTGTCATAGGGACTGGGAGGAAAGCCTGGTTTCTCACTCCAAGAGCAGGACTCCCAGATAGGGAAATTCTCAAACAGAACAGGAGTGTTCAAGATCTGCGGGTGACCAGGAAAGTCCCCTAGAGGCGCTGAGGGGTGGCTAAATGCAGGAGTGGAGGGGGAGGAGCCTTGAGCAGAGGGACCACTCGCTGAATTAATCCCCCACATTTATTCCCGCCTCTGTGTGCGGAAAGCCAGAGGGGTGCAGCAGACATGCTTCCAGCACTCAGCAAGGCACAGCCCCGGAGAATGGATGGACAGAGCCCATCATCAGTTGCCATGGAAGCCATGGGAAGGTATTGCTAAGGCACCTGTGATTAGACAGGGCTGGAGGAGCCAGTGAGGATGAGGCGGCTGAATCCAGCAGAGACCTGCTGGGAGGCAGGTGAGGTGTACCCCTGGTGTCTTTCCACCTATAGGTCACCTGCCTGGGAGCCATCCAGTCGAGCTGGAGAAGGGTGGATGGATGGGAGCGGCAGGGGTGCCCCTTACCCAGGTGTGTTTGCTGGTGAAAAAAAAAAAGTTACCGAGAGAACCGGACCAGAAGGCATGGAGCAGGGCAGCCTGGCTGTGCACACATCACACTGTTGACCTGCTGTCAGGTTAGGTTACTTCTGCCCATCAGCCTCCTGTGTTCCCTCCCCGCCCAGCTTGGAGCAGGGACATAAAAGACAAGAACACTCCCTGCTGGACCCTCCAGAGGTAGAAGACGCTTGTGCTGGATAGGGACCAGGGATTGGTGGGCACGGGGCCCCTCGCCTTGCACCAGGCAGACATTCAGCCCGACAGTATCACGCAGGTGGTAGGAGCTGTCGTCTGCTCAACCTTTCCCGTGTCTACCCTAGACACTTCACCACACATCAGCAGGCAACTTCCCGGCATGAATTACTCCCCACTCTCACCTTTGTGGTTTCAGCTTTAGAGATCCGGGAGCAGCACGCAGGTTCACAGGCCTAATCGGGCCTGATGCATCTCCAACCAGACAGGGAGTTTGTGTCTGGATTTGTCGCCCAACAGGTACCAATGTAGGAGGCTCTCATACATGAGATGGAATCACTCCTGGGGACTGAGAGGCTCAGACGGCTCCGTCAGTGGCAGGCTGCACGTCTCAAACAGGGGACAGAGTCTGCTGGTGGAACCCCTTGCAACAGACCGAGGTCAGCAGCAGGCCCAGCACTTCATAAACTGAATTATGGCAGCCTCCGCCTCGGAGCTGAGAATTTCTAAGGAGGCATTTCTCATTGTCTCCTTCCTATCACTAAGAAGTTCCTCCCGGCCAGTGAAGGCAAAGGGATGAACAAAATCTCGGAGACAGAACACCAGGGGTGAAAGCCCAGCTCCGCTCTCCGCTCACTGAGGGACCCTGGGCTGCTCACTTTCCTGCCCCAGGTCTCTGTTAAATGGCTTGCACGTGGGCCTGTTGGGAACAGCCAGTGGACGCTGTGTGGCTGTCCAGCCTTCTGTGCTTCTNGACCCTGGGCTGCTCACTTTCCTGCCCCAGGTCTCTGTTAAATGGCTTGCACGTGGGCCTGTTGGGAACAGCCAGTGGACGCTGTGTGGCTGTCCAGCCTTCTGTGCTTCTGTTCCTACCTCTGTTAGGTGATGTCGTGGAAGAAACCTGGCCTGTACTTGTTGTGTGGCATGGGGTAAATTACTTAACCTCTCTGAGACCCAGTTAGTTGACCATTTTAAAAAAGAGAAGGTGACAGTACCTACTTGGTCGTGCTGTTGAGGAGGTTAACATCTCCGAAGCCCCAGGACAGGCGGGTGCCCCTGAGCCCCCGGGAACGGCTGCTGGGTGTCTTGTTGGTGGCGATGGTACAGGAGTCCTGTAGCACGCACCTCTGAGAGTTAGAGGACGCCCACTTGTTCATCCACCTCTCCCGTCAGCCTGGGAGCTGGCTAGGGCCCTGGACTGTGTCCGGCCTGGATCCTAGGAGGGGGACACATTCCATGAACCTAGCTTTGATGAGTCAGTGAAAGGGGGGCTGCCACATGAAGATCACATGTCACAAGTAGAGCGAGCAAGACCCCGGCCTCCCATCCACTGTGATGCCTCCTCTCCGATGCTCCGTTTTCCCTTCTGTGATGTGGGGACAGTTGGCTTAAATAACGTCTCTGAAGGCACTCACCACCTTCCCTGGCTCATGGTGAGTGCTTAAAAAATTGTGGCTGGAAGTCATCCCACGAAGACTTGCTCAAGAACCGCCCACCTGTCCCTTCTGCTGCCTGCCCTAGTCCAGGCCAGTGTCCCAGGCTTGAATATGACCCCAGCTCACTGCCGACCCCCAAGAGTCCTAGTCAACTGGTTATTGGAAGATGACTGTGAAAAATGAATTCTTACAAGGAACTAATAGGTTCTACCTTTACTTTGCCAACAAAGGTCCGTCTAGTTAAGGCTATGGTCTTTGCAGTGGTTATGTATGGATGTGAGAGTTGGACTGTGAAGAAAGCTGAGGGCCAAAAAATTGATGCTTTTGAACTGTGGTGTTGGAGAAGACTCTTGAGAGTCCCTTGGACTGCAAGGAGATCCAACCAGTCATCCTAAAGGAGATCAGTCCTGAGTGTTCATTGGATGGACTGATGCTGAAGCTGAAACTCCAATACTTTGGCCATCTCATGTGAAGAGTTGACTCATTGGAAAAGATCCTGATGCTGGGAGGGATTGGGGGCAGGAGGAGAAGGGGATGGCAGAGGATGAGATAGCTGGATGGCATCACCAACTCGATGGACATGAGTTTGAGTAAATTCCGGGGGTTGGTAATGGACAGGGAGGCCTGGCGTGCTGTGATTCATGGGGTCGCAAAGAGTCGGACACGACTGAGTGACTGAACCAAACCTTTCCCAGGGCCACCTGCATTTACAAGAAGTTTGGAGATGGCATTATTCACAAGGTGGCGGGCAGGTAAAGTACATGGTTACAGCAGTAAGTAGGACAACAGGGAGAGAGAGGAACCAGAGAGAAAGAGAAAGCACAACATCAAATTCAAAATCATGAAATGCTAAGTTGACCAAACCAAGCACCAGGCTATGAGTCTCTGGTTTGCCACCCATGAGATAAAGGCGGCTGCAGTGGTGGAATTCAGGCTGAATTGAGGATGGAGCACGAATCGGGGAGGAGCACGTCCCCCTCTGCCTTCAGACCAAACCAGGGCAGCTCGAAGTCTCCACAACCAGCAAAGAAAGCCTCTTCCCCTTTCTCTCAAAGGAAGCCCTAGAGTGGCCAATGCCCCACATGCTGCTGGAAAGGCCCATGTCCTCAGCAGCCACCACCCCACAGCCCAAGCTGGGGCCTACTTGTCCTTTCCACCTTTAGAAAGCCCTGGGACTGAAACGTCAGCCCATGAATATCGAGTGCATGACAGCGACCAGCTGCAACTGGAAGGAAGGAAGGAAAAGCCCCGCCAGCATCTATCAAGCCAGGCCAGAAGGGGAGAGAGCCCTGCAAGGCCACGTTAATCCCTTGCCTGCCTTGTCCTGGGGCGGCAGCAGCTGGGCACAGGGAAGTGGTGGGCTCAGGTGTGGGTCTCACAGGCACTTCCCCCTCTGGGGACAGGCATGCCAGGACGGGGGCCTGGGCCCTCACCTCTGAGCCACCCAAACCCCTGCAGTGTCTCCTCCTTCAGGGCTGCCCTGCTTCTGAGCTCCCTGGAGGCTGTGAGACAGTAGAGGCAAGTCCTGCGGGGCCAACACAGCCTGGGCAAGTTCCCAGGAAATGTTCCCGATGATGCGCGTGCTTCTCCAGCCGGACTTCTTGAAGGTGGCTGCTCACTGGGCACTGTCTCCTTGCCGGGATGTACTGGGACTGTCTCCACAGTCTGACCCAGCTCAGTCCTCAGACTCAGGGCGAGCTGGGGCCTGGATTTGCTCTCCTGTTCCTTTCAACCCTCTGGAGGAGGGAAGGGCCCTTGGCCTCTGAATGAGGACAGTGCTGGGTTGTTTCTGAAAGGCTCTAGCTGGAATTTCCACCATCTTTCTTTCCTCCGGCATCCACATCAGCTGGGTCACTGAATTCAGCTGGCAGTCCCTCCTGGCCACGCCAAGGGCCTCTGACGCTGGTTCTCCTAGCACATGCAGCTTCTTCTCTAGGACATCACATGCTCATCACAGACGCTGGCCCATCCACTGCCCCCATCCAACACCCAGGTCCCCTTAGCCCCAACCTAGGTCCCTGGACCTTCTTGGGGCTTCTTTGACATGGAACCAAATCCAAAGGCAGGCTGTCCCGGAGAGTACCAGGCTGGGAGTCAGCATTCAGAAAGCCTGGGCTTAACTGCACACATCATGTGGCCTCTCTGAGCCTCATTCTCAATAAATTCATCCTTTACGTCCTGACGGGTGGTGAGACCCTGAGATTTCTAAATACTGTTTTTATGAGCAGAGTGGACTTGGCCACAGACATACACACATGCAAAGTCCCCGGGAAGCTGGGCACAGCTTTGCTGGGTCAACGCAGCCACTGGCCAGCTACACTCAAAAAGGGTTGGGGGACGAAAGGTGCTGGTTAAGGAGTGCAGCTGGAGGCGAAGGTGGGCAGAAAGCCAGAACTGCCTCCAGCTGATAACCCATCCCTGTCTCCTGACAATACACCTCCCCACCAACCCATCCCCTACCTGATAACCCATCCCCCACCTGACAACGTACACCTCCAACAACTCATCCCCCTTCACAGCCCATCCCCTCACCAACCCATCCCCCACCTGATAACCCACCNACCCATCCCCTACCTGATAACCCATCCCCCACCTGACAACGTACACCTCCAACAACTCATCCCCCTTCACAGCCCATCCCCTCACAAACCCATCCCCTACCTGATAACCCACCCCCTCACCTGACAATACATCCCCCAACAACTCATCCCCCCTGCAAACCATCCCCCCACCAACCCCTTACTTGATAACCCATCCCCCACCTGATAGCCCATCCCCCACCTGACAACTGATCCCTTAACCAAGGCCTTGTGGTTTGAGGGCCCCTGGGCCCAGACTGGGCTAAGAGAACCCGCTGAGGGCAGACTGGAGGGAGGGCAGAGGAAGCTGGCAGTGGGGGAGACAGAGAAAAACCCTGAGCAGATAAGAGCAGGAGTGAAGGATGCGGTCCACACAGGAGCAAAGTCTGAGCTGGGCCAAAGCTGGCAGCGCAGGTCTCTGCTTCTCCACTGTTGCCTCCTTGGCTCTGGCCTCAGTGAGACCCTCCCAGAGCAGTGGATGCCATAGCCGTGCCCATGACCTTGAGGCTGCACCTCCAGCTTAATCCACATCAGCGACAGAGTGAAGGCCTCACTGTCACTCAGGGATATTTTTAACCTGCCTGCCGGGCACCGCTACCTGGCTGCTGTCTGGAAACTAGGCCACAGGAGCCATGGAGGAGGCGGGTCCTACCCCCTGCCCCAGCCTGGGAAGGCTCCCGGCGAGTGGGACCTGAGTGAGGGGACAGAATGAGCGAGCCTCTCTGCCCAGCCAGAAAATTTGTGCCACCCACGGAGTGAGTGGAGTTTCCAGAAAGGGCTTCCCACGCCCATAGTAAGCTTGCCTCTAGGCTCTGTCTCAAATCCACTCCTAACATGTGGCCCCTCAACAGATGCCCCAGCTGTGTGCATCTGCCCGGTAATCAAATCACCCAAGGGTACCCAGTGCTGGGGGGGCAAGCTTACACACTCGAGTACCGTGTCCAAGGCTCCCGCCCACACCACCTCCCCATCAGCTCCTTGTGGAGGGATGGCGGGCTCACTAAGGGCTCAGACAGCCTAGGGTTCAGCGCAGACTCTGGATCTCTGTGACCTTGAGTGGTTTCAGTTGAAACTTTCTGGGTCTTAATTTTCTCATCTGTAAGATGGGCTTAACAACAGTGCTTCCATGGCTAGAAGGCTCAAGATGGTGCCTGGCACGTAGTAAGCACTAAGTGTGTGCCAGATTGTATAGAAAAACTTATCAGTTAGGAGGAGAGGCCCCAGAACCAGGCTACTTGAGTTTAAATCCTGATGCTGCCACTCGCTGGCTGGGTGTCACTGGGCATGTGTGCATACTAGGTTGTATCTGACTCTTTGTGACCCGATGGACTGTGTATCCCTCCGGGCTCCTCTGTCTACGGGGTTTCACAGGCAAGAATATTGGTGTGAGTTGCCATTTCCTATTCCAGGGGATCTTTCCAACCCAGGGGTTGAACCCGTGTCTCCTGCATCGGCAGGTGGACTCTTTACTCTTTACTGAGCCATCTGGGAAGCCCCACGTGTTCTTGTCCCCATTACTTAACCTCTCTGAGCCTCAGTTTCTTCCTCCCTAAGATGGGAAAATATCTCTACTTCACAGGATCATTGTGAAGATTAAATGAGCTAATATGTAAAGCTCTGAGAATGGTGTCTGGAACACAGCAGGTGCTCGGTTAGCGTTAGCTCTGATGATTAGCGGCGATTCTGGGAAGATTTTCCTCCAGCCAGGCTCCCCTTCTCCTTCCTGCCCCCACACCTAGCTGGCACAGCTGCCCTCTCTGTTTGTTCTCTTTCCTTTCCTTCTCTCTCAAGTTCTGCGCTTCTTTCAAATCCCACCTCCTCCATGCTGCCTTCCCCAACAACTCTGGTGGATTTTGCACTGCTTCCCTTCTCCCGTCCCCTAGGCCTGACGCCCCACATTATTCCTCTGAGTAAATTTCGTCCGCTAGTCTGAGGCAGGGGCTCGGCCTGACCCCCCTCCTCCCCAGCTCAGTGCCCGGAGCCCAGCCTTGTGCGGGGGGAGCAGCAGCAAAGCCAAAGGCTTCCTAAGCCGCTTGTCCTTGCCGAGTCTGGACTTGTCTGCTCCGTGCAGACACCTGCTCCCGATGGGGGACAGCGTGTCCTGGGCCCCAGCACACGCATGCGTGTTCACACGNCCGATGGGGGACAGCGTGTCCTGGGCCCCAGCACACGCATGCGTGTTCACACGCACACACACACACACACACACACACACTATCCTTATGCCCTGGTAAGGGAGAATCAGGCTATTTCCCCCCAAAGAATCCCCCATTCCCACTAAAGGTAACCGACACGCATTTTCCCCAAGCCCAGGCATTTTCTGGCTCTCTCAGTCCTCCCCCCACCCCGAGAGATGGGGAACACCTGGGAGGCCAGCTGGGGCTGTGGCGGGGTGACTCCTGACCCCACAACGGGGCACCAGGACAGGGCACCCCAGGGGCCAGGGCCCAGCGTGGGGGACGGAGGTGCCGGAGGGGCTGAGGCACACGGCCCCTTCCTGGGCGGGGAAGGACACCAGGATGCCACGTTCTCTCTCCCCTGGGGGCCCGACAGACAGCAGGTCAGCCTTTCTGACCCTGATGCCATTCGTGCTTGCAGTCTGCCGGCCACACTCAGCCCCGGCTCATCAGAGGGCTCTGCTGACCAGTCTCCCCCTCCCCCGCACCCCACAGGCCTGGCTGGGCTCCCAGGACCTGTCACAAGGCAGGGCTGTCCCCTCAGCCCCCTTCCCTGCCTCCCCCAGTGACCGCCTCTCCTTCTGGGCTGCGTCCTGACAGAGGCAGTCTCACTCGTCCCACAGGAGCCACCTTTGGTGGGTGTCCCCCTTTTTCCTGTGACCTGGGACAAGGAAAAGGGAAGAAGGGGATTCAGCGGGGGCGGGGAGTGTTTCCCTGAACTCATCATTCTCTCTGGGTGACAGAGGGCTGCTGTCATCCCCCGAGTGCTCAGCCCTTTCCAGCCTCCACGTCAGTCTGCCCCCAAATTAATGGGGATGGGAAGAGGTCACCCTGCAGTCACCTCAAGGGAACTTTGAGCCTGTCTGTCTGGCCCTCATGCCGCTGTCTTGCTCTGGTCTAAGAAGGTCTGAAAATGGTCCTTACATGCATCCATGAATCTATGAATGAGAACCAGAAATTAACCCTCTCCACTCTGTAAATTATCCCCAAGGATAATACCTTCCCAAAAAGCAGGTTTGCTTGACAGAAGGAGCCCAGGACAGGGGCAAGGGGGATGAGAGAAGCCTATGAATCGAGCCAAGTGTTGGTCTGCGCACTCCAGCCACACACAAAGTTAAATTTGAGTCCTCTTCCCTAAACCACGTGGGGTTAATGCAGTAATACCAGCAGCATTTATAGAGCACATCACAGCTAAAGGATGCCTTCCATGCACTCCATCAATTAGCTACCCTTCTGCTCTACAAGACAGCAGTGGAAGACTGTTCACTCCTCTTCCTCGTGGGAGGGACCGGGCCTCAGAGTGGCTGGTTCAAGTCTCAGCGTAGAAGAGAGATCCAATGTCTCTGGTGCCCTACCCAGATCTCCACCCACCAGGCACCTGCCCCATGCTGCTGCGGTGTTGGCTGCTAACAGCTCACACTGTGCCCTTGTCCAGAGGATTGTCCGTAGACGTCAGGAGCCTCTTCCCTGGGAGACAACAGCCAGCAGGTTAAGGCCTCCGCCACATGTCCCTCCCCTGGGAACGGCTCTTAGCTGATGACACTGGGCAGGGGTGGAAAGCCAGCGCCTTGTCTTAAGGTGGGACAGCTCTGCATGCCATTCAGGTCCACAGCTCCCCGTGGTCAGATTGGCTTAGCCTCACCTGAAGTGACTTCTTGGCCCAGATTCTGCTCCTCCTGTTCCCCTCACTCCCTCACAGCTTCTCCTGAGAGCACTCTCTCAGCAAACCACACACTCAGGGATCCCAGTGAAGACCCCACTTCCAGGGAACCTGAAGGGCTAGAACACAGGGCTTCTGACCTGAAGCGTGTGTGTTCTTAGAACAGTTCCTGGGGCATCCTGAGGTGCTGCTGTGATGAGCACCCAGCTCTCTGCCAGGACGTCATCTCTCTCTCCTTCTCCCAGAGGAGAAGCAGGTTCTTAACCCCTTTCAGCGAACCTGAGCCCTGGCACCTCCCACAAGCCACAGCCTGCTCCCTCTCTCCGCTCCCTGTCCCCAAGCTGTGGCAGCCAACACCATGTCTCCATCCATCCACGTCCTCCTGGGCCCCCATTTTGCTACCCAGTGCCCTGACTTGTTAAGCAGTGCAGATGGCAATTAACTGCATGATATGAAAATACCCAACCCTAATTATTTCAGGGACGAGGCCAGGGACCATGAATAAACGATGAAGAGTCTTTCCAGCGTCTCCTCAGCTGGCCCCTGCCTAGTGGGTGGAAGGCTGGGGGGTGGTGAGGGGGACCCTTCCCCACACAGAGTTCATCAGCATGGGGGTGGTGAGACAAGGGGTGATGCCCAGGGAGGGGGCATGAATTTACCAGGGGAAGGCAGGCCGCTCTTCTGGGCACAGAAATACACAACCATTAGGGCTACTGTCCTGGTCCTGCAAATGGCAGGAAGCAAATGGCAGAGGCTCCCTGGATGCCCTCTGATGAATAATTGATTATAGAATGCAATCTAGTGAACCAATTCCAAGAGGATTCCCAGTCACCTCCTTCTCCCACATCTGCCTCTCCTTTCCTGCCCCCTGCCAGGTAGAGGCTAGTTTTTCATTTTTCCCCAAATGATTAATTTCCCTGTCTGCCTTGCCCCAAGGTGGGCTCCCTGGGGATATGCCCCTAGGGAGCTGCAGTAGGATGTCAGAGAGGACAGGCTGCATGCTCAGATAGGGATCTGAGCTGCTCCAGGGGCTACCCTTTGCTAAGAACTGTGTCTTTTTCCAGCAACATATCACAACAAAGCCAGGAAGAAAAGGAAACAATTTGTATTCATGGATCCTTTTATGCACCAGAGTGAATGCTGATGCACACCTACGTGAAGACATGGGGACACACATACACACACACACACACACACACACACACACACACGAGGACACACACACACACACACACACACACATGAACAGATGGGGCTCCCACACTTTGAAAGCCTGAATATTAACACTGATATTTATGGAGGGAGAGCTATTTACTTCGCAAGAGGATTTGCAACAGGGTTACTTTAAACAGTAAGCAACCAAACTGCATTGAATAGAATTTGATTTACAAAAATGTGACTTACCTGTACATTCTCAGAAGCCTGTGTCCTGTAGGGGTGTAGATGTGTGTCTGTAAATAAGCAGAACTTGTCAGGGCCTCTGGTCATCTAGTTGTGGGAGAAGGCATTTCTGATGACTGGCTATACACCTGAGAGGTCTGGTCACAGGGTGGGCTCCTAGCTGGCCCTACACGCCAGTTCCTGCTCCATCTCCAGCTGGTAAAGAGGGAACCAAACCCCAACCCAGGGCTCATCTTCAAAGAGGTCCCCCACCTCTGCATGCTCTTCTTATACCCCTGAGCTCCCCAGTGGTTCAGACTCCCATGAATGTTTTGAGGGGAGCAGCTAGAAAAGAGCTCATTAACTATATCAACCAACTCCTTCTTTTAAGAGATAAACAAAGTGAGGCAGAGGCTTCCCTGGACATCCAGTGTTTAGGACTCCGTGTTTCCACTGCAAGGGCCACAGGTTCAATCCGTGGTCTGGGAACTAAGATTCCACACATAGCTGCAGTGTGGCCAAACAAAAATGAAAGAAAACAGGAAAAAGAAAAAATGGGGCAGTGGCCTGTCACAAGCCCAGAGCCCACCTGATCTTGGGTCTTTCATGCCTTACCCCAGCCACCTTCACTGTGTATGGTGAGGCCAAGAGTGGTCAAGAAGGCTGCTGGGAAGGAGCCTTGCTGTCCAGTTTCCTCCAGGCCCAAGCCTGCCCCCCATTTCTCTGCCTGCCTCCTCCCCTTTCTCCAGGTGATGGAGGTGTCTTTTGAGGGTGAGTAAGCCTGTGACTCAGTTGGTAAAGAATCCACCTGCAATGTAGGATACCTGGGTTCGATCCCCAGGTCGGGAAGATCCCCTGGAAAAGGAAATGGCTCCCCACTCCAGTAATTTTGCCTGGAGGACTCCATGGACAGAGGAGCCCGGCGGGCTACAGTCCATGGGGTCACAAAGAGTCAGACATGACTTAATGAATAAACCACAAGTATGTGACAGTCCCTTGATGAAATTAAAACTCACTCCCTGGGAAACAATCTTCTTTTCTTGTTAAGGTTTAACCCTTCAAAACCAACTCCCATGTCAACTGCTTAGCTGGGGTCCTACATGACTGTCCTGGTAACCCTTAGAGGGACAGGATACCCACGGACTTGAAGATGGAACAAGGAGTAAGATGGAATGCTCTCCTAATTTCCAGTCCAGGACTTGCACCAGCAGACAAACACACACACTTCTTAAAATCTAAGCTTGTTTTTGTAATAACAATAAGGCTTATTATAAGAGCAAACACTTATTAAAAAAAGAACAGGTGACACATTTGCACATGGCCCCATTATGTGCCAGGTGGTGTTCCAAGCCCTTTACATATGTTAACTTACTATCACAACAACTCAAAAGGAGGTTCTTACCTTCAGTTCAATTCAGTCACTCCATCGTGTCCAACTCTTTGCTACCCCATGGACTGCCAGGCCTCCAGGTCCATCACCAACTCCTGCAGTTTACTCAAACTCATCATCATTCCCAGCATCAGGGTCTTTTCAAATGAGTCAGTTCTTTGCAGCAGGTGGCCAAAGTAGTGGAGTTTCAGCTTCAGCATCAGTCCTTCCAATGAATAATCAGGACTGATTTCCTTTATAGAATGGACTGGTTGGATCTCTGTGCAGTCCAAAGGACTCTCAAGAGTCTTCTCCAACACCACAGTTCGAAAACATCAATTCTTTGGCACTCAGCTTTCTTTCCAGTCCAACTCTCACATCCACACATGACTACTGGAAAAACCATAGCTTTGACTAGACGGAGCTTTGTTGCTCTATCATTACTGTCCCTTCAAACCCAGAGTGGTTAAGTAACTTGCTCAAAGTCACATAGCTGGTAAGTCGGCCCAGTGGGGAATGGGGCCCAGGGGATGTGACTGCGAACTTCAAGGTCTGATTCCTTAAACCCTGCTGACATCTCTGGCCTCAGATCTTACCATCCCTCCTGACCCAGCTCTGCTACTGCTCTTCTGCTACTGCTCTCCAGCTACAAACACCAAGTCAGTTCTCACGTAGGGCTTCTGTCTTTGCTGTTCCCTCTGCCCTTGACCTTCAGACTTCCATGTCTCCTGGGACAGGCTGAGCCTGACACGATCTAAAGTAGCCACCGTGGCCACTCCATTCACCCTTCGCTCACTACAGATCCATCTGCTTTATCTCCTTCAGCATGCCTCACTACCTGACATGGTCTTAGCTCTTTGTTTACTATTTCTGCCACTAAGATGTGAAGTCCACGGGCACAATGATCTTGCCCTCTACCTCACTGCAGTGTGCCCGCACCCAGACGGGCTTGGCCTGGCCCTAGTGGGCACACACTGCTGTGGACGAGAGCGTGCGCAGGAAGGCCTCTGCACCAGGAGCACCAGAGACGGCCGTGTGTATGAGATAGTGCTCTGCAGTGTAGCATCAGCCAGAAGTGGTAAGACCAGCTTCTGGCAGCCAGTGCTAAGAGACAGAGTGAGTCTACAGACAGATCCATAACCACCCAGCCTGGAAGAATGCAGAACAGAAAAGAGAACCTCCATCTTTGAACCCAAGCATCTTCTTACCACCTGGCCCAGGCCTTTAGTGTTGGTTGCCTGGAGAAATGTAAGACTTGATTACAAGTGGGGAGGAATCGGCTGCTCCAGAGTCCTCGGAAGGGACAGGGACTGGGGTGGTCCAGTCACTCTAGTTACTGAACTGAGCTTCTAAATATAGCCAGGCCAGGCAAGGGGCCTTGAGAAGGCAGGTCTGAGATCAGACAGGATGGAGCAGGCAGCCTTCCCCCTAGCTCTCTCCTGAGAGCCTCAACCACTCGAAGAAATATTACATTTTGCGGAGGAGGTCTGTTAACACAAAAGAAGGGGCTCCCCACCAGCACCAGGTACTAGGCAATGCTGGGGGCGAGATGTGGGCAGTGTTTTTTACCCATGTGGTTGCTTGGTGATTGTGCTGAGAATGACTAGGTGACAGGGTGACCCCCAGGTGACAGATGAATGTGGCGGTGATGCTGACCTCACCTGGGGGATGTGATCAACAGGGAATCGGGGCCCTGCGCCAGTGACATGTGCTCTGGAGTGTATCAGGAGCTCTCTGGGGCCTGTCAGATGATTTGGGGGAGTGGGCCACCACCCCACCCACCGTGTCCATCTGCCCTTTTCTTCCCTTCCTGGGGTGAGAGGACAGCAAACACAAAGTGTTCCAGTCCAAGTCCTCACCCAGAGCTGATTTTCCTATTCCGATGGTGACCACAGACCACCCTGGATGCCAAATCTGTCTGTGCTCGGGGTCCAAGAGGACAAGAGTGGATCTAGTCAGCCAGGGCTACATGGAGGCAGTTCCGCACAGATCCCCTCTCCTGGTCCCTGGGTGAATTCTCAATTCCACATGCCCATTAGTACTCAGGAGGATGTCAGTACTCCAGACACAAATATTGATCATGGAATTCTAATATCCGAGACAAAGCTGGATGGCCTTTGAGGCCCTTACTCTGTCAGTCCAGCAACTCTAGGTCCCAATATACCCAACATTATCATTAATATGATGTAACTGATCACAATGTGTTCAACAGTGCATATTATGAATGTGATGGAGGCTGTTAGTCTTTGGTTTCTCCAGTTTTGTGTGTTACAGACTTAACTACTCGCTGTTTCTCAGCTATAAAAATGCAGCCCTCTGAGCTCAATCTGTCTCTGTTGCCATTTTACCAATTAAGGAACTGAGGCCACAAACTATAGTTCCGCCCTCACACTACAATTAAAAGAAACGTCAGCCCTCTTGTTGTCAGTCCATCCACTGCCCTTTGACCCGCTGTCTGCTTCCTCCACAAGCCCAGAGGACCACGACCCCAGGATTGCTCCCTCAGGGTTCCTCTTCCCTAGAAACAACTGCTAGTCTTAACTGACACCTGGTTAGACTCAAAGCAAATCTCTGCCCCTTCGAAGGCCTCAGTGACTTTCTCTGACAAGTGAGGCACGCAGGTCTGGGGCCCTCGAACAGTGCCATGAATCCTCAGCTCAGTGCCACCTTGCACCATACAGTCCTCTGACCAGTCTATCCTTGCCCAGGCCAGGCATTCCTCAGACACAAGGGGATGGGGGTTGGGGCTACAGAGATCCCTGAAAAGCGCCCCTGTCCTGTCAACTAGAGATGGTTCCCCAGTGAAAACTGTGAAGACCCCAGGGGCCTGTGCCTGTGTTTTCACTTCTCACCATGAGGGGCAAAGCGTCTTATACTTAGCAAGTCATGTGTGCATGCTAAGTCGCTTCAGTTGTGTCTTGACTCTTTGCGACCCTCAGGACCATGGCCCACCAGGTTCCTCTGTCCGTGAGATTCTCCAGGCAAGAATACTGGAGTGGGTTGCCATGCCCTCCTCCAGGGGATCTTCCTGACCCAGGGATCAAACCCGTGTCTCTTATGTCTCCTNAGGTTCCTCTGTCCGTGAGATTCTCCAGGCAAGAATACTGGAGTGGGTTGCCATGCCCTCCTCCAGGGGATCTTCCTGACCCAGGGATCAAACCCGTGTCTCTTATGTCTCCTGCATTGACAGGCAGGTTCTTTACCAGTAGCACCACCCGGGAAGCCCACTCAAGTCAATGTGAAATGTTCTGACTTCCAGCCTTCCGTGCACTGCTGGCCTCTGCCTTCTTAAAGTTCACCACCCAGGTGTTAGGGCTTTAGGAATTAAGGAATTTTCTGGGTTCCCTGTGAATTCCAACACAGGCAACTGTGTTTATTGACGGCTTCCTCTGCTGGTCACTTACCAGGACTGTGACCCTGGACACAGAGGTTTGTTCAACCATGCTGTGCCTCAGTTTGCTCATCTACAGCATGGGCGTCCTACCCCACAACACAGGCTTAGCGAAGATTAACTAGCAGGGCACCTGCACAAACACAAGCTTTCCCCCTCCCTACCCAGAAAACCCTTTCTGCATTGCTAAGAACCTTCCTTTTCATGGAACCTCACAACTGTCAAGGACGGCTAGCAGTGGCCCCACCTCCTGGGCCTCCATCTTTCATCACAGATGCCATGGCTTGGTCCAGCCACATGTCCTCTGGAAT